GAAGGATTGCGGGTGAAGGCAACTCCCGTTGCGCAGTCGTTGCCCATGTTGCCGAAGACCATCGCCTGAACGTTCACGGCCGTGCCCCACTCCTCCGGGATGTCATGCAGCTTCCGGTAGGTCTTGGCCCTCTGGTTCATCCAGGAACCAAAAACAGCGCCCACAGCGCCCCAGAGTTGCTGTTGTGGATCCTCCGGGAACTCCTCCCCGAGCTGCAGATAAACACAGGCCTTGTAGTCCTTGACCAGCTGCTCCAAGTCCTTTGGCTGGAGCTCGTGGTCTTGTGTCACACCTCGCTTCTTCTTGGACCTCTCCACAAGCTTCTCGAAGTTGTGCAACTCGATGCCAAGCACCACATCTGAGTACATCTGCACAAAGCGGCGATAGCTGTCAAAGGCAAAACGCCGGTCTCCGGACTGCTTGGCAAGCGCCTCTGCCGTCGCGTCATTCAGGCCCAGGTTCAGAACAGTGTCCATCATCCCAGGCATGGAGGCCCGCGCGCCGGAGCGCACCGAAACAAGCAGGGGATTCGTGGCATCTCCGAACTTGCGCCCGGTCCTTGTTTCAACCAGAGCCAAGGCCTTGGTCACCTGCTCCTTGAGGTCAGGAGGATACTGGCAGTCGTTCTGGTAGTAATATGTGCAGATCTCCGTTGTCAAAGTGAAGCCAGGCGGAACAGGAAGCCCGATCGAGGCCATCTCTGCAAGGTTGGCACCCTTGCCGCCCAGGAGGTTCTTCATCTCGGCTCGGCCGTCCGCATTCCCAGAGCCGAAGTTGTAGACCCAGGTCATGACGAAGAGGCGCAAGAAAGAGCACAGGGAGGGGTGGAGCTGAAAGCCAAATGCTTGAACTGTAGCCGCAAACGGGCAGTTAAGATCCTCAAATCATGAGAACAACTCCATAGGAACGGGAAAATCGCAAGGGCCCGTCAGGCTCAGACTCTGTCTGCTATGCAGTTTCGAGGTCACGGCAGACGACTTAACACAGCCCCGACCACGTGCGAGGCAGTAGTCACGGCCTCGGAGAGATGTCTCAAGCAAGCGAAGCAAGCCACGCACATTTTGAGCGCAATGCGCCAACCCGCCACCTTCATCTGACCGGGCTTGTCGATTCCACCCAGCGTTGCAGTTGCAGACAAGACGCAAGAATTCCCAGCAGTCACAACCCGGCTTGCGCAGTTCTCTGCGCCTGCAGCAGTATCAAGAGGCTGCCAGTGGCCTTTGAAACGTGCAGCGATGCTCTCATCAACACCCCGCTAAATGAAGTTGAACCCAAGTTGAAGATGTAGAGCAAGATGCGGGAACTTTACTTCGTGAAACATACAGGACATAACTCCGCCAAGCACTCTCTCCTTTGGTGGCACGCGGCGGCTCGGATCTATTCACAATCGGAGGTCCTGTCCAGTGTCCCGCACCTGAGGCTAAGTTCACGGCACGGAGGTTGCGATGGGTGTTGCGATGGGTGGAAATGCGAATTGGCCCTGACAAGGCTTCTACTAGCATCAAAGAAACCCGACTCTGACAGGATTTGCTCTGTCTGCCAAGATGCAACTCTGAAAAGATCTGGCGATGCCGCTCGACGCTCAACTGTTCCTACCCGCTGGCGATCAGAGGTGGAGTAGACATGTGGGAGCGGAGAGGAGGCAGATGGGTGGTTCGGGATAAAGGAGTGAACTTGGGACAGCAGAAGCGCAGGAGAGACAGACACAGAAACAAAAAAGACACAGCGCTTCATCAAGATTTCCGAAAAGTAAAGCAGCATGGCGTTAAACTCGACTGCAGCGGCAAACCTGCGAGAAGCAGTGGGCATGCCTTTGCCTTTGGCGATTTTTGGCACAGGATATGGCGAAATTTTATGCACTCTCCTGGTAGGATGTATGTGTTCAATGCAGGAACATGGGCTAGTCTGCGGGTTTTGCGAGCCCCGCCAAACACTGCCTGTTTGGCGATTTTGGTGTTGAGCTCTCTTTGGCTTTTTGCACTCGGGGAGCTCTCGAATGCATTCTTGGCCACGTCCGTGAGGCTGAGACTTGTTGACACTTGCCATGGTCTCCAGGTGCATTCCACACTGGTCTGTGCCCTCCTTTTGCGCAGGCTGTTGCCACGAGGCCGGTGTCGACTCTCACAGAGTGGCACAGTGAGCAGTTGGCAGGAAACGTATTCAATCAGGCTGTCATTGACCAGTTTTCTAATGAGATCTGCACAAAACTATGGCAAGACGCTCTGCACTTCCGCAGGCACGGTTTCTTTGCCGATGCCGAGCTGCTTGACATTGATTTCTCTCATTGGGCTCGCGCGCTTTGGATGCAACCCAGAAATTCACATGCTTCCTCCATGACAAGATTAGCACGGAGTGCCGTGCTATCAAAGCCATTCCTGGTTTTAGTTATCTGCATGTCGCGACAGCTGATGCAGGTCCTTCATCTTACAAGTATTATGCATGCAGGAAAAGCAGAAGTCAGTTCCGGCTGCATATCCATTCTTGCAGCCCAGGAGGCCCTTACACACTTACATGTTGACCGAGGTTGGAAATCAAGGCACAGACCCCACCACCCTGACTCCACTTCAATAGACACCAGCGCACCGGAGCTCAATTGTGTTGCGATGGGTTTCTGATACCAGGCATAGCGGCAACGGAAGTTAAATCTTTAAATGCTGGAACAAGTAGCAGGTCTCAATCCTCATTTACACAATGGTAAAAAGACAGAACAAGTTTCGAAGAGGTTTCGTGGACCTGGAGCTGGTGACGAGAAAGGTCTCTAACGACGAATCTCGGTGACTTGGAACTACCCCCCAGCAACATTGCACAATGACTTTGCCAGGAGACTCTTTCGCGTTCTTCGTGTTTTTTCCGCAGACCAGTAGTTGTAAGCTGATGGCAAACATAAAGCCACAGGGAAATGAGCCACGCAGAAACGCAAATTAAACTCTTGAAGGGGGTCGTTCGCACGTGGGGCAGCATGTGTACTGAAGCCGAGTGCATGCATTCTATAGAAGAGAGCGGCCGCCCGTACAAGAAAGCCGGGTCCTTGTGCTGCTGCCTCAAGGACTGCACACTCTGAGTCTGGGTCTCGCTCATCCTCACAAGCTTAAGTTTAGCCATGGTGCAGCACAGTGTGGAACTCAGTGAGGTCGCGGGCTCGCTCGCGCCTTTCCTGACACCGGGGGGGCCAAAACATGATCAGGTTCAGAGCCTGCAGGTATCTGCACTGCATCAAATGGCCATCTCATGGACACGCTTGCAGCATTGCCCCGTCGCAGGCCTGCGTGACTTCCAAGGCAGCAGCGGTCGCAGCAGCTTCGGCTGTCTCCTTTGCAGCTTCTGCCTTCCAGGATTTCCGTCTTCAAGGCTTCGGGCTGAAAACTGGAATCACTTAAGGCAAGACATGACGGCTGAAGACCGCAATCACCAGGATCAACCCAAGGCGAAACACGAAGACGTTTCGTTTATGTTCCTCCCTGCGGAGAAGGTTTCTTGCTTTCACTAGGGGCGAGCGGACGAGCCCCCCCCTCTCGCTCCCTCTTTTTCCTCTTTTTCGGGGCCGAAGGGCCCTTCCGTAAGTACCACGGCGGTGGTGGTCATCCGAGAAGGCTGCCTAGTTTCAACTGGATCGGGGCAGGAAGCCAAGCGCAAAGCTTGGACAAGCCCCAACCTAGACGCTACAGTTCACAGTTCTCCCTGGCTTCCTCTCTGTCCCTCTCTCTACCGCTGCATCCTCCCGCCTCAGCCAAGTAAGTAGCTTGGAGCCTCTGTGACTCCTGGGTTTGCGCATCGCCACGGCAAGGGGGAAACACGAAGAGTTCCACGGCAAACCCACATGCGCCCTGCATGACGTGCGGTCCTCAGCTACTCGTTCAAACGCCCGTCGTGTCTCTCGCTCAGCGTCCATCTGATTGGCGAGGCATCTTACTGCAGGTAATGCAGGGAGTTGGCTATCCACAAACACATTCGTGCTAAAGCAGGGGACTCGAACCTGGAAGCCTACATTTGCCTCCTTTGAGGCGGCTTGGAGCTCAGCGGTGAGCCCGACGACCTTCGGCCAAGCAAAGTGCCCGAGTCTCTAGGATCCTCAACATCTTGTAGAGCTACACAAAGGAACACGACTTCCATCATCCATCGGAATCCATCGTGGCGCAAGGGCGGGCACATAGCAACTGACATGTGCCATGCTGCGGAAACGCCGTCAAGTTGCCAAAGCTGCGAGCTCGTCCTTTTCGGTCTGCACTGTGGAGACCTCTGTCTGGGCGCGCTCACGCTCCACAGTTGCTTTGGCAGCCGCCTCCTCTTCCTGAATGGGGGAATCCGGGAAGCCCAACTGGCAAGTTTTGTTTTCTAAAGAGTTAGGGAAACAAACGACGGCAACCGTTGAGTGGTTGTAGAGGCCGTCAGATTCACATCGGCCTCGGCCGAAGCGGTCAGAGGTTGCCTCTATCCTCTCCTCCCCTGTTAAGTTGCCACCCACCTCCCAGCTACATGTGTCGTCTGTCGTGCAATCTGTTTGGCCCCTGATGAGACTGCTCTTCACCTAAGACCTGGCCGAGGCCGGCGACGCGAAGTGTTTACAATCATTAAATTATTATGAAGTGTTGATTATTTACAAGCAAACTTCAAAGTAAATGTCGGAACCGGAACGTGATGCCAGTGACTTCAATCTTTTCCGGGTTGTTGTCTCCCTCCTGGCTTGCCCGCTGCTGGGACAAGCGCTGCTGGTGCTCCGCATAGTGGAAGTTCTCCTCCAAGCTTGTGCGTTGCCGCAGGAGCTCGTCCACATTGCTGCGTTGCTCCAATTGCTGCTTTGCCAGTTTTGCCTCTGCAGCTTGGCACTCTGACAAAGCCTCATCTCGTCGGCTTGCTGCAGATTGAACCAGATGCGCGGCAGTGCTTACTTCGGCAGAAAGCTCTTGCTGCAAGCCTGCACATCAGAATGCATCCTCACGTTCAAGCACCTTGAAACAGCACTCCCGCCGTGCTGCATCAGAGAACTGACACTTTGAGGCAAGTGGCAACTGTTCATAGTTCTCTCCTCCAGCTTAACGGCATTGGCTTCGTTGGCCGACATGACTATCTCGGCTTGTAGCCGTCCGACGTCCTGCTCCAACTGAAAACGCTCAGTCTCGAAGCCCGCTCGAGCCACCGCTAACTCTTCTGAGATGGCAAGGCATCGATCGGAAACTGCTTGGTGTCGCAGTTGGGCATCTCGTTGGGCATTGACCTCCGACTGTCGCCATGCAAGCTGTGCGCTGGTGAAGCGCTGCTCCTCAGGGCACTCGGACAACGCTGCCAAGAGCCCGAAAACTAAATCCTCCCTTTTGGGACAGCTTAAAGAACTCCTGGTAGGAGATCTGGGACTCGAGCTCCAAGCGCTGCTGCCTCCACTCTTGGGCCCTCTGGTCCAAGACTTCTGCAAACTCACTCTGGAACAAGCGCTCTTGCTTCTGCCGGCACTCCTCCAGGATCTCAGCCTCAAGTTGTGCAAGCCTCTCTGCCTGCTGTCGGCCTCAGTCGACATGGCAAATTGGGCGGGTGAAGCCAGTTGCGAAACACTTCGCCAAGCTGCACACTGCGACCGCGCTCCAGGGAGTTTCCCCATTGATCAGCGCATATGCATTTGCTTTGTCGGGCGGTGGTGCTGGCGCATATATTGGCAAGGCCAGAGCAACAGTCGGGCTCTGCATCAGATCTTCGGGGCTCTTCCCCACCTGCGAGAAGCATCAGGACCATGGATCGGCAGCTGGTGTCGAAACACTTCTAGACTTCTAGACTCTAGACTTCTAGAGAGCTGGAATCCATGCACCTGAAGTCTGGAAACACTTGCGTAACCTTTCAGACATCTTGTCTTGAACTGAGCAGCGTCAGGATTCATCTGGCCACTGGACACGTCATCCGGACCGGCCGCCAGCGATTCAGCTTCTGTGAGGTCTGATGGCTCTGCTCTCGGTTGCTGTGGAGGCAAAGCCTCTTCCTTAGCAGTACTTAGGCACTCCCAGGAGTGGATCGTCTGCACAGGCGTACTAAACAAATGATCCTGAAGCCTGAAGCTCAATCAACCTCGCAGTCTGAATCGTGCGGCTGTGGGTGCCGTGGTCGCGGCCTCTGTTGCGTGTAGCGTTGGCTCAGTCTCTAGTGCTTGCGGATGAAACGAATCGGGTTCTCGGACTCGCCTCTCCCCAGTGGCCCTGAGACAAGAGGCTTGAAGACAAGCAATACTGTAAGCGAGCTGATGCCCACTCGGCCGCATCAATCAGCCGACCAACCACTTGCAAATCGCATCACAGGCACGAAGAAGGGCAAAGCCTACAAGTAGCTCAAGCCTAGCTGGGCCTAGCTGCACTGCGCAGCAGGCTGTGCCCAAAATTGGGACTCCTGAACCGATACCCGATGCTGACGAATCTATTCCAAATCCAAAGCCCAAGCCCGTGCCGGCGCCAGTCGACTAACAGTTTCTACAACGGGCCTTTCTACGTTGACCAATAAACAATGACGAGGGCTTGACTTGCGCAAAACCCATGACTCACGCAATGAGCCTCTCAGGCAGGGCGTAGCCAGATCGACGCAGGGGCGCTACGTCTGCACGACGGCGCGTCACTGCCATCAGCTGGACAAGAGCTTCTCTCAGGACTCGTGATGCTCGGGTGAGGAACCTCATGGGATTCTTCCATGGCACATCATGCCCATCAATGTTGAAACTTGGCTCCAAGCTGCGAGCCTGCATCTTTCATGGAATCGCAAGCGGCAACGATGCAAGTTCTACATTTGCAGGCACGTGATCGTCGAATCGAGCCAGGTCAAGACGCGCGAGCACTCCCTGCCGCCATCAACAAGCCATGAGTGCTCAAACCGACATTTTGTGCGTCGAGAGGTGTATATATATATATATGTATGTATGTATGTATGTATGTATGTATGTATGTTTTTTGTATGTATCTATGTATATATATATATGTATATATATATATGTATATATGTATATATATATGTACATGTATGTGTGTGTGTGTGCCAAACCTGACCAGCTTCGCAGTTGGTCGTCGCACTTGATCCCCTCCATGTTTGAACCTAGTTCCACTTGGACGGCAGGGCCAGTGTGCATGTGAATCTTGTGTTTCTGAGAGCTGCACAGTCAACCTGCAGCAGCGCACGAGCGAAGTCGTACACGCCATCGGTTAGCTGTCCTCGTCCCAGACACCGTGCATGAACAGGCTGCCGACTTCCACGTTGTATTCTTCGCACTGGACCTTACCCAGCACTGGACCATGATAAACAACAATCAGAATCAGGCTGCAGAAAGCTAAAGGAGACCTGACCTTGCAGAGATGTCCTCTGGGCTCTCGTGCGGCAAGCTTCTCTGAGAGCTCGGCCGCTGTGCAAACAGGGTCGCGACCATGCAAGATGCCCACGCCATCGCAGACGAAGGTTTGCTCTCGGCAGGGAGACAGGTGCGCACAGACATACGCAAGTCTCCAGGCACTTGCAATTCGGTCATGCGACTCCTCCTCTCTTCGCCATATCAGGCGACAGTCAGGACTTGGTGCCAGGCGTGCACCACTCCAACCACCACGGCATTGGGCTGTACAGCTCTGTCCTGGGCCCAGTGTCGTGGCCAGCCATGTAAAAATGAAAAATACGTCTGGTGGTGCTGGAGGCGGTGGTGGGCTGCCTGCTCCTGCTGGTGTCGGCCGGGGCCACTCTTGGTTTTTCAGAAAACCGCCATGACGCGATGGACTCATGGCTCGTGAAGTCTTCGCAGGTTGGCAACACGACAGAGGACATTAGAGTAAGCCAGGTAGGGAGGGAGGAAGGGCGGGAGAGGTTTAGAGAGAGAGCACAACAGAGAGAGGGAAGTGAGACAGGAAGATGGATGGGGGGAAGGAGGTAAAGCCAAGCTCGTCGCCTGTCTTCCGCCCAGAGCAGTCATGGACCTAACGAGATTCAGGCAGAAGCTGCGGCTGCAGCTTGTTCTGGGTCGCTGCTGTTGGGAAGGTTAAGGCCTAGCACGAAGTATATTGTCGCACAAGCTGGCGCAAGCATGGTCTGCAGCGTATGCAGATCGATTGCAGGCAGTGTGTGGCTTGAAAAGCATGGCTGCGAGCACGGCGGCCAGCCCAAATTCCTGAAGAAAACACACAAATGCATCCGCAAGGGGCGGAAGGTTAAAGGGGAGATTTGGGGATTACTAGGTCATAAGACCCATTTTGACAGCCCTCCCTCAAAGAAGCCCGGCACAAAACTTGTTCTTAAAGCTTTTAGCAGCTATGCCCACTGCATCTTCCTCAACTCTGACGTGCACTTTGTCATTTTGATGGTGCATGTTTGATGAAGTCGTAGGAGGCATCAAGCTCACCAAGGTCCTCACCACTGCAAGGCCCACAGGAAAGCCTTGCGTACACACCACTGCATCGAAGAAGCTTGCCTGGCGTTGGTTTCCGGCAGGCCTACCTATTTGTTCAAGCAGGCCGGCCAACCCTGTTTGCATGAGTTCATGATCTTGACGTGCCGGGATTTTTAAGGTCTATCGAAAGCCGTGCCAGCGAGGCAGGTATGGGTCTGTGGACGATGCCGCTGGGCAGTTGCACCTAGACCAGCAATCACAGATGCAGCATGTGAACTTTTGTGGTGAGGGCAGCACGGAAAGCTTCGCTTAAACCTTCTTTGCGAGTTTTAGATTTAATGGCATCGCCCCGTGAATGACTGCGAACATGGCACTCCTGCAATCAAGTGGTCGGACTGGGCACGCTCCTTGTGCAACACCTGGTGCCATCAAGAAAATCTAAGGTGAGTCTAGCACCGCCATCAATCTACTGGACCTGGAGGCATGCGCAACGGGCTGAAAGACAATTGAAAACAACCCACAGGGTAGCCAACTCAACATCCAGTACTGCTAAGCTCTGCTGCAACTAGCAGGATTCCAGCAGGCTGCCTCCAGGTAGTATAGGTGTCCAGCCTGGTGTGTTGGCACATTTGAGCACGGAAGTCTTCCTGTTGGGCCGGTTGCCACCCCTGCAGCAGAGTCCGACTTTTGCCGGCCCCTGTCACAAACGATCTGGTTGCTGGTCCCCACAGTCGTACTGACATGTTCGGGTGGCCGTGGCCCTGCACGAGATCAGTGCAGCTCTCAGGCACGGCCTCCATGTAGTAGCTTCCTGACCTCAGAAAATTCGCAAACCCAGGTGGTGCTTGCATGGCCCATGGCATTCCCCGATTAGTGTGTGCAAGCTTGCTCTGCTGTCAAAAACTAGCTCCCGAAATCATGTGGGCGTTGCATCGGACGCAATTCCTGATGATGCAAGCCTGATGCTGTCCAGACTGCGTGGGCTAAAGAGAGTCCGTGCCGTCAATGTCAACTTCCGTCTGAACTTCGATTTCCCGTCAACTCAAGGAAGGCAGCCTGAGATAGCCTGAGGTGGCAGGCAGACAAATGTGTTTCCCCCCGCCCCTCCATCTCAAACCCCTCCTCATCGAAGCACATTCACAACATCGTGCTTGTGTTTTTGGAAAGGACACCGGGTCGCCAGCTGGGTTGGAAAGCTGTCCCACGCATCAGGACCTGTCGAGCCGTAGTACACTTTGGACTTGACTAGAACTGTTACACTGTTACACACGATTGATTCAAAAGGAATCTCAATCGAGCGCCAGTTTCGTAGAGGTTAAAGGTCTCACTTTCCTTACATCTTCCGCTGATCGCCATTTTGCTTCACCTCGTCTATACCAAAGACTGAAATTGTCGTCCGGCTGCGTGGGCACGGCAGTGCACTTCTATTGCAAGCTCCTTTACAAGGTACTTGCCTTACCCACACAAGCCCAATAGCCATCAGTTTTCTGTGCCGTCAAACGCCGCCCAAGTTATCAGTGGGTTTGGCGCTCGTTTGGGTTCGGAAGCCGTGTAAACAATGAAACCTGAACTCCTAATTTCAGGAACCCTCAAATTTCCAAACGAAGGGCACGCACCTGGAGCATATCCTCGACGGAGAAAAGGGCCTTTCAGAGAGAAGCCCTCTTAGAAAGGGCGACAAATCCTCCCGATCCTACTCGACAGGTGTAGCCCAACTTAGCGTTTACCCCCATCCTGCATGACGTGCATGGGCATTTTGCCCAAAACGTCAACTTTATATCTCCAAAACTTCCTGGATATGAATGAGCATATGTACAATTGACGATGCACAGGCGTGTAGCCCAAGGTGGCAGCATGTGGCAGGTTTCCTGCCACTGGTGACGGTTAGTCTTCGCAGAAGATTTGGCCCAAACCTCTCTGAAATGCATTTACGGCCCAAAGAAGTGCGATATCCCCGGTATACCCAAATCTAGGCTTGCTCCAGTATGCGGTAATCGTGCTTGAATTGCATGGACCTGCATTTTTGCACCAATCCTGAGTGTACATGTATGGGTGCGCAGTGTACTCATATGTACTCAGTGTACTCCGATGTTGCCCCCACCCTGCTTAGAGTGTGTGGGAGTGTAGCCTTGTTGGCAGATCTCCCCCCTATCGTCTTGACATGAGGACAGCCGGCTTGGAGTGCTCGATGGCCTTGATACCAGGTTTGAGCCTCAGAGATGTAGGAGACCTGGCAGTGCAGAGTAGTGCAGCATATGCTGTTCTGGATAGCAACCAACACGTGCAATACGTCTTTGCAAATCATTCTGCAAGCCTTGCTGCCTAAAGGAAGGCTGCCGGAGCTGGAGCTGGAATCGTGCTGCGCACCGTTTTTTGCCTCCTGCCTGGCTACTAGGACCTAGGACGAACCTGCAATACATGGTCCATGACTGGAAACTGGAAACCCTCCTAAGCAAACGTCTCGAGCTCCACGCATCCTGTATGAGGGGGCAGAATTCCGGTTTAATTTGAGACCCTCGCAACTTGTCCTTGCGTGTCGTTGAAGGCGTCACTGATCCTCAGCCTCGGTTGCGACATGGCCACCAACCTTCTCTACCGACGTATTTTTGATGCATGCCATCGAAGGCTGCATGGGATCGACCCGGCCAGACTTGGACCTGGAAGCAAAGACAGTTCTATTCGGGCCAGCTGAGGCGACCACTCGCTGTTCTCGTCACTGGTTATCTCGAAGACCTGGGTGCATCGGCCAAGGTCGGGAGGGCCAGCCCCCATCACGCAAAGAGCAGTGGTCCGCGCGTGACACGAGCTGGAGTGCAATTCATCAGGCCAGACAAAAGAGCTGCGGCGCATTCATCAGTTCCCACTGCGGAGTCGGATAGTTAAAGCAGAGAGCCTGCCAAGCTGTATCGTGTACGGGAGGCTTGTTCGAGCCCTCCTTCTTCAAGCCGTGTCAACCCACTTCTCTCGCAAGATCGTGCGTCTCCCACTCACGGTCTTTTGAATGCCTGAGTTCCCAACAACGTAACATCATGACCTCATATCATCCAGATCTTCGCCCCGGCGCGCAGGGCGCACAGCGAAATCGATCGTCGCCATTGTCTGACTGCGGCAGTGTTTTTTTCGATGCGTGCTTCTTTATTTCCGGATGTCCCCTTTCGCGCCCCGACTCGGCCCCTTCGACACTTGGCTGGGTTGCGTCACGGAGGACCTCGAACTGGCTTGTGGTGGCTGCTCGCTGTGTGATCTTTCCGGCATGCGAGCTGTCCCGGGACGAGCCGGTTCTCGTGTGAAGCACGAATGCAGCAGAATCCGAAGTGTCGAGAGAGGCCACGTGGCCAAGCCATGCTAAGCACCGGGCATATGAGCCCGTCTCCGGTGCGACGAAAAGGCCGTAGAACCTCAAGGATCGCAGACTCCGACCTCCGCTTCACGCCTACAACTGAGGCCCTGTCATCTGACCATAGTTGTCACCGTAGTTGGCGGTGCTGGTCAAGGCCTAGACCAAGTGAAAATGCACAGCAAACCTAACAAAAATGGCAAGCTACTGACGATGATTCATAGGGAGACTGTCGGAAATGGGATGAGCTTCGGGGCAAAGCGAGCACTGAATTGAATTTCGGGCCTCTAGACCTCGGATTTCATCAAATAATTAATTCGTCGCTTATTTGTCGTTTGGTCTTCTCGCCGACTGCGACTATTTGTTTTGCAACTTCTCCTGGCCAAAGGGCATGCACAGTGGTCCCATGTTTTGCCTTTCAAGAGTATCCCAAAATTGCAAAGGAGATGGGGAATGACAAAAACGACAAGGGGTTCGGGAACCGACAAAAAACGACAACAACGTGACAAATAAATGACAAAAGCCTGGCCGTGCTAATTGTCCCAGGAAACCTGCCGCTACAAAGCACTCCTGGCCTGCAACGCAGACCTGCACAAAAAAGACGCAAACAAGCCAAGGCCAGCTGAGAATGCCGAAAAACCAGTGCACGCGGGCACAGGGACCACCTCATGGCCATGCGCTGGGTGCGCCGAAAGCGAGGGAATTCCGCTGAATGCGCCGATTGCGCTGCAAATGCGCTGGATGCACCGATTGCGCTGGATCGCGCTGAATGCGCCGACTTGCGCTGGTTGCGCCGAATTGCGCCGATTGCGCTGACTTGCGCCGGGTGCGCTGATTTGCGCTGATTCCGCCTACATCATTGCGCTGAAGTACTCATGTATATTACTGAATTCTGTTTTATGTTTATGTATGAGTGTACTTATAGGTGTACATACACACACACATATATATATATACATGTATAGATATGTAAGTTGACGACTACTGGATATGAAATAATATTATGCATACACCAGTACTGAAGAAGTACTGAAGAAGCCACTCTGTTTTGCCTATCGTCTGGGCAGGGGGCCTGAACTTCATGATCAACCGAAAGACTGAACACAGTTTCTTTGCACTTCGACGTCAGACAATGGTTGTTAAAAGGACAACGCCTGATGCATACGTGCATTGCAAGCCCAATCTATTTTCAAATGAATGCTTAGGACAGGAGCACGAATTGGCCTGCCGAAGACGGAGCCTCGGACTGATGGGGCGCCCCTGGTTTTGAAGTCAGAACTCTCACGAACCTTGAACTCCGAGGGTGGGGACTTGGACTGATGGGACACCCCTGATGTTTAAATCAAGACTCTTACAAACTTTGAACTCCGAGGGTGGAGCCCTGGACTGATGGGGCGCCCCGACAAAGGGAAATCAGAACTCTTGCAAACCTTGAACTCAGAGGGTGGAGACTTGGACCGATGGCGCGCCCCCTAATTTTTCAATCAGCACTCTTACAGACCCTGAACTCCGAGAGAGCCTTGGGCTGATGCGGCGCCCTGATTTTTCAATCAGAACTCCTAAAGACTTTGAACTCCGAGGATGGTGCCTTGGACTGACGGGGCGCCCCTGATCTTTAAGCAGAGCTCGTACAAACCTTGAACTTCGAGGATGCAGCCTTACTCAGCAATCAGAACTCTTATAAACCTTGAACTCCGAGGGTGGAGCCCTGGACTGATGGGGTGCCTCTATTTTTTTCAGAATCCTTAAGAAAATTGAACTCCGAGGGCGCCTCTGTTTTTCAAATCAGAACTCTTACAAAGCTTGAACTCCGAATGTGGAGCCTTGGACTGATGGGGTGCCTCTGATTCTTGATTCAGAACTCTTACAGACCTTGAACTCAAAGGGTGGATCCTCGCACTGGTGGGGCGCCCCTGATCTTTAAATCAGGTCTCTGGCAGACTTTGAACTCCGAGGACGCAGCCTTGGACTGATGGGGCGCACCTGATCCTTCAATCTGAACTCTTAAGAACCTTGAACTGCGAGGGTGGAGCCATGGACTGATGGGGCGCCCCTGATTGGCTGTATCGGGTTTATCGAGCTTATCGGGGTTAGCGGGTTTATCGGGGTTAGTGGGTTTATCGGATTTTTCGGGCTTAGCAGAGCGTGGTCCCTACTTCCGCGCACAATGCAAAAATTCGACAACACAAACGACAAAAAGACTACAAGGCCAATGCGTGACTGCAACATGAGAAGCGAAGTGGATTGAAGAAGGCCGGCCTCTTTCCCAGACATGATTGACGGGACAGTTCAACAGCTGTCGAAATCGCTAGCCCCAATCATCAGTTCGTAGACATCACGAAGCCAGATGCCAGCAATTGAGCCTGAGACAAGCATGAAGAAGCTTTGTGTCCGTGCTTCATTCCAAACAAGACGAACACTTTCACACCTCGACTACGACTTCGACATGAAGGAACCGATCTGACAGAGCATGTAGTGCGCTGAATCGCTTTCAACTTTTGCCTGTGCCACCTGGCATATGCAACATGCCCTCGCAATTTCTTCCGTGTCGTACCATGTGATACGGCCAGGGGCGAGGCATGATTGTGTCAGGAGTCTATATTTTGGACCCATGTTTTTCCAACCGCCACGGAAAAAACAAGTTGCAGCACTCGACTGTCGCGATGGCTACCACTGTGCACAAGCAAACGAGCCAAGTCTCCAAGGCAGCGGCATTTGCAGATTCTTCCAAATCCGGCGAGTCTGGGAAAGCCTGGTGCATTCAAGTTACATGTCTGATTCAACACCGACCGCCTGATCTTCTTAAGAGCTGAGCTTGGCACAGCTGCTGCCAGGAGATCAGCCAGAGTCTTTCCGGGAAGGTTGTGCCAAACCTGACTGACAGAATTTACCCAACATCAGCCTTAGGCGTGCGGTTCGCTCCGGCGAGCCTTTCTCACCAAACCAAGCGGCTGGGCACCGTTGCACAACCAGGCAGTGCCTGGTATCGCGATGTACCGTTTCTCACTGAACCATCGAAACTCGAAACACAGCAAGCTCAGCATTCTGTGCCACGGTGCCATTGCTGCAAGAATTGTCCTCGGAGCAAGGGTAGCCTGCACACATTGCTCTGCCCTCCCTACAAAGCCTGGGCCTGCAAGCCAAGCATAAGATGGCATGCCAACGTTCCTTCGGCCCGCTAACGAACAGAGACCGTAAACCAAGACGAAGCCTACGCAGGCGGTGCTCGGAGCCTGCCAGGGCTCAAAGCGAGCATGCACAGTTCATGACGGGAAAGCAGACAAGACTGGACTATCCCGCTGTGCTGGCCTCGGACCAGCAGATGGCATACTCACCAAGCCCGGAGACACTGGAATTGGGAGGGCCTCAACGATGTGCGCGCCTGTTGCACTTCAACCACCTAGCCTGCACATCATCATGTCGCATCGCAACTTGCAAACATGAATCTTCAAGACATCGAGCGCAGGCTCAGATTGCGCGGATGCTGGTCTCAGCGATTTCTTCATGAGGCCGTGCTGATCCCAAGAAAGTCTGAGCAGCGGGCCATGAGGCATGCCCAAGTCGTATGTGTCGAAGAATTGCCCGCCCACCTGTGGTTACTAGCTCTGGTGTGTGCTTGCTAACGCCTACTCCGGTCTTGCTCTGATCTCGCTGCGAAATTCAGACAGCGGAAATAAAGAAGAGACTTTTGACAGCTCAGCATCAAAATTTCGTGGTTCTGATTTAAGGCCAGGGCATCCAGGTCTCTATGAATTAAAGGTACTAGAACATACTAAGCTAACCGCCTTGGAAGCCCTCCTCGGTCCGCCCAGCTGACAGTCCGTGCCGCTCTTGAGGGTGGACTCTCAACTTTTCGCTTTCTGGCCAAGCCTGTGGTCAACCACTAGTTCATTGGCTTCTGCAGTCGTCGACCCTACGTCGGAAATCTTTCGCCGAGTAATCTTCAAATTACCATCCGGACCGTATTCACTTGCACGGCTCGAAAGATAAAGAGTTCGTTGATTCGATAATGCTGTTGTCAGCAGACAGCAAGCAACTAGCCAGGCAGAAATGCAAGTGCAAGCTTGATCGAACTTCCAATCCGTCCAGAGTCCACCATGCCCTCAAGACCCCGCGCTTAAATCTCGAGTGCAGCACCAGCTGAGGATTCGTCACGCCCGGCCTGGTCTCGCAGCATGGTACAAATTAGCTGCTGGGCGTGAGCTCGCTGCTGGCTACCGGTTTGACAGGTTTTGTGAATTGTCTGAGGGCTGCGTGATGCTTGGTGCGGGTTTGGGTGAGAAGGCTGAGGTGGGCTGTGTTTTTTTTGGCATGTTGTGCTTTTGGTCTTGCCGCTGTATGTTTGAGCTGTGTTTGACATATGCCTTCAGTAGGTTGCTGGCAACGAGCAGCAAGGTCATGTGGTTTTCATTGGGGGCTGTGAGAGAGCTCAATCTCAAGATTCGCTGCCTACTGAAATCTGTTGCACATCAGTTTGGGTACGGACCTGGTTGATGAAAGTGATGCAGAACTATGAAAATAAACCAGCGGAGTGTGGCTTCCAGGGTTAATATGCATCAAACGGCTACATCACACTCCCGCTCCTCCTCCTCCTCTTCCAACTGCTACGAGGACGACGACGACGACTACTACTGCTACTTTAACTTCTGCTACCTCGCTACTGCTACTGCTGCTGCTGCTGCTGCTGCTACTACTACTACTACCACCAGCACCAGCACCACCACTACTAAGACTAGGACTAGGCTACTGAGACTACGACTACGACGACGATACTACCACTACTACTGCTAGTGCCACTTCTAGTTCTATTGCTCGTGCGACGATGACCCCTCCTGCTCCTCTTGCATGCTGGCTCCTGCTGCTGCTGCGGCAGCTCAAAGGAGGCCCGGGCCACTCCCTCCATTCAATCAACCCAGGTTTGGGGGGGGGGGGGTCGGTATGCATTAACAACTCAACGAACATTGTCTATACGGCAAGATCCTGAGCGTCACGACATAATAACGCGGCTGAAACCGCTTGCTTCCTGTTGCACTGCTGCTTTATGGAAGCTCGGGGGACGCCGCAAGACAAGGCATGCACCAATGAGCAAAGCTGCAGTTGATGCTTCCGCAAGGACCTTGGCAGGAACGGAAATCAAGTGTATTTGAGCTTCAACAGGTCGTGCTTTGCATACTGCAGCCGATCACACAACTCTCGAAGAGGGGATAATCGAGTCTAAGATTCCAGCTGCTGCTCGGGTTTGCCGCGTCCTGCTAACGACCCTTGCTGTCATGACCAAGTGTTAACTTCCCTTCAATTTATGCATCTCACCACGACATCTCACCACCTAGTTGTTGAAATCCGTCAGCAATTGCGACCGATTCTGAAAGGAAGAAACGCCGACAGCGATGGCCAAGTCCCGCTTGACGATGACCACTTGGCTCTGCTGAGCCGACCTTCAGTGTGATTGACCCGGACTCTCCATCGTGCTACCACCAATGAGGGCTAGGTTTCATCATTTTCGGTGCTTCAGACAGGAGGTGGGGAGGGATGATTGTCTCGAGTGTCGCAATTCCTGGTCGATGGGTCTGTGCTTGACAGAAGTACAGTCCGGAGCCTTCTCCTTTCCGGTCGAGAAATACTCTTGCTGAGGCTGTCGATAACATGTGGTATCCAAAAGGGCTCAGGGTCTTCTAGTGTGGGCTGAGCCTGCGGAATAGTATGCAGGCGGGCAGATGGACGAGCGGCATGAGGCAAGCTCCTCCCTAGTTTACATTGCATTGCAGGTTTTGCTTACGCTTTCAGAGGTTGACTGCATATTGACGCGCAGAATCGAGTCTTTAACACCAGGTTTGTAGAGATGTCAAATCAACGACGAAGCAAAGGAATAGTGTCTTAACCTTCAGCAAAACACAGTTTTATCTGCCTATGTACGCCCATTAAAGTTATCAGCATACGTATGTATGTATGTATGTATGTATGTATGTATGGATGGATGTATGTACGTAGAGGTTATACTGTTTCTGAGTTTGCGGTCAGGGGGGTGGCACTGTTTGCCATCGGCGGGAGCCTCCTTACCACCGCCAGGCGTGAACCGAGTGGTGAGCGTGTTCCCTCCTAGGGATTGGATGGGCTGGTTTGGTGCCTAGTACCCGCGGAGGGATCCAACAGGAAGAGCATTGGCCATGTTTGGCCGCAGCCACCAAGCCATGCCCTGCCAGGAACGCTCCCAACCTGGCTCAGTACCGTCGCAAGCGAGTGCGTCGGGAAGAGCCGCTTGAGCTGGAGCTGGGAGTGGCGTGCTGTCTTGCCCTTAAGCCTTATGCCGGCCTTCTTGGCAATTTCCGTTGCTAGGAACGCGCAGGTGGCGGGCGTGCCTAGTGTTCTATCCAGTTGGGTTTCGAGATCCTTGTCAGGGTTAAGGGTGCATCGGGCCCGCCATGATGCACAGTGTTTTTGTGGAGCCGACCCCTTCTGCACGGGGCCTAATACCAATCTCAATACTCAGGGGGTTATTTGATGACGGAAAGGATTAAGCCGATGTACAGAAATCAGCTCGTTCACGGTTCTAGAAAACAGCATGCTTCCATAATTTCTTACACCTGCCATGTCATGTAAATCATATTGTGTAATGAGTCAGCAACTTAACAGTTAGGGTCATTCAACTTCGCGCTGTATGACATTTACATCATGCAAGAGGAATGCAGCGGACAAGGGTTTAAAAGGGGCAAGAACTACAGTACAATCACGGCATAATACAGCCGATGAGCGGAAACCCTGGGGTCGCCTGAGGGTAGAAGGTTTGGTGACCTGGAAGCTACACGTAGGGCTTAGGGCCTAGGGCTGAGGGTTTTTTTTATCTGTCTGCTTGTCTCTGTCTGTCTGTCTGTCTGTCTGTCTGTCTGTCTGTATGTCAACTAGAAACACTCCTTTTCCTTTTCGGCAGCAGAGTCCTGAGCTTGTTTAGTTATCGGTTTCTGGCTTACGTAGTGTCTGAGCAAATGCTATTTCTTGAAACTTCCAACCATGTAATCGGTTCTTAGAATATCGCAGTGGGGAATGACAAGATTCAACATAGTGGCTCTTAGTCTAAATTAATGTCCAGGGCGGAAAACGATTTTTAATTTACTATGCGGGAGAAAAGAAAAGGTTGGGAAGGAATCCCTGTTATGAACGAAAATAGGTAGTATAGACGTGTTCTAAACCTGGGGTTTTGGAGGGGGCTAGCAATATATATATATATATATACACACATACACACACACACACACATATTCGCTATTATGTAAATAGTGTCTGGTTGGCTGGGACTGGGGGTGGCGACCAGGACCAGGAATCACAGATCGTTCGGCCAGGGACTCGCTCCATCTTCCATGCTCAGGCTCCCGCAATGCGACGGCACCGAATAGCCGCACCGAACAGCTTACTCCGTACGCACAGCCTTGCTGCGGCAGGAGGGCTCGCAAACAAAACGAGACTGCAAGTCTCTGGTTCGCTCCCATGACCTTAGCCTGATGTTCAAGCTCTCCTTGAAGGCGCCGGACGGACAGTCTCCCCGAGCAGCAGGGTGCACGCACAACACTCTTGGTGCGGAGCTAGCGCCGGGCGCTCGTCGCTGTTCGTGGCCTACACCTCCGAAAGCTATCACCTTACCAGCGCACCAAGGGTCACAGGTCCAGTACGCGGAAGAATCGAAAAGAAGCTTGACTGATCCAGCTGGGCATTCGGATTCCAAGTTGATGCTGGAACCGATTGCTGCAGAATGCGTCGCGAAACTAGCTCGAAAAATACTTCTATGTGGTGACGATGTCCCGATGATCGTGGTGTTACTGTTGCTGCATCCAGCTGTTGGTTGCAGCCTGACATGGAGAGACCCCTTATGACGCCTTTCTCGCTGCAAGTGCCTGGAGCCGAGTAGGACCACGACTCTTCAAGTGCTTTGGCATTGGGCCAAGCTCAAACTTGAGCTTCTGGGGGTTTTTAGGGCAAACCTGCTGAAGCCTGCGCCTTAAGAGGCTGCTTTCGTGGTGGCATAAACACGATCCCGAGGCCAACTCGAACCTCGTCGCTGGCTACGGCAGTGTAGCTGAGTTTGAGGCCCTCCGATTGCCTGTGTCGGCGACCTGCTGAGACCGCCAAAAAGCTCCAAGCTCAAAGCCTCATGACTCGTTACTATCTATCTAGTTTTGCAGGTTTTCCGATTATGCCTGTAGGAGACCAGCAATGAGAAACAGGGCCACGCTTCGGCGGGGCGTTTGCTTGGATCGGCAGGGCCCTAATTAAGCGCAGGAGCGTTGCACATTCTACGAAACCACTACCATTTCAAGCCTAGCCGATAACCATGCACGCATGGTGATGCTGCAGCATGTTCAAGCTGCAAATACGTGCCGGGTTCACCACAAGGGCGCCGGTGGCAACATCCTCGGTCCAGACCCGTCCACGGCAGGGCACGAAACGTATCCAATCGCGAAGTTGTTACAACGCGTTGGCTAAATCTGCAGCTTGAAAAAAACGAAACGACATGTGCAGAGTGGTTCACAGGCCTCTTCCTGAAACAGTCGAGGTACCTTTGTGCCTATGCCAAGCTTTTGCGGGAAATCAGGAATATGGAGGTCAAAGCAACAAAAACCTCTATCTCTGTATCTAAATGACACGAATGACAGCCGGGATGCAATCACGAGCCCTCTGGGACCATCCAACTCGTGAAGACCAGGTCCACCCAATGGAATACCCTGAGCTGAGGGCTGCTTCGTCGTCGCTACCAGCCGTGTGCAGACGGACGCAGCTTGGGCTCTCGACTCCTCCGTCCACAGAGGGGCAGCAGCACCTCAAAATTGGCGTCCCGGCCGACGTGGCTTTATATGCATGGCTACATTTGCTGTGATGCACGAGGTGTCTGACCTGGAGACTCTGATGATTGTTTCTGCACTCGCAGGCTGGATTGACGAGAAGCGCTGTCGACGCACTTGCTTTCTCGGAAAGGCTGCGTCAGGTACCGAAGTCCAGCCGGGAGTGCCTGAATGAGCTGCAGCTGATTCGGGAAACTGGTGGCCCAACCCGGTTGCAGGACGCGGTCAACAAGAAGCAGGTGCAGCTCGCTTGCGAGCTGCACAGTGAATGCAGGGCTCCGGACAACGTTACAGCTTGTGCGGGCCAGGTACCTCTACATCTGCCGTGCGCTGCCTGCTTCTTTCGGCCTACCTAGTGAAACGCACCGGGAGAAAATCCGATTTTCGTCAGGCATTCCCCGCTGCCTCCGGTTGGCTACTGCGCAGCTTTTAGGTTCAGGGCTAGAAATAACATCGGGGAAAGGCCTGATTCGGACGTTGTATGCCGAGAGTGGAAAGAAAAGCTTTGCAGCTCAACGCGTGCTGCCACGAATGAGTACGAAGCATGAGCCTTCTGTCTCAAGGTTTTGAACGGCTCACTAGGTGACCGTAAGCCATGTGGATGAAGCGATGCCGCATTTCGACAGCACCATATTGCGAGCCGCTCGGCCGCTCCTCCATTTGTCCGCGACCGGTTGAAGTACCCTTCTCCTCCTGCTAAACTTGATCACTGAATGAATCTCACACGAAAATATCGAGCCTTTACGAGAGGGCAGCAAAAAAGGGTTCAACCAGCCGGCTAGATTGACAAGTCCGTTAAAAATCATGTCGTTGGATCTGCCAGCTTGCCTTAAAGACATCAACTCAAGCAGCACCCGCCTAGCGTGTTCGTCGTGACGGCTCGATGCAGAGCACCCATTTATTCTACGGATTGCATAAAGGACGCAGCTTTCCTGCGAGCAACTCTTGGGCAATCTGCAGTCTGCCACCGCAAGTACCTTGCTGTGCCTTGACAAACCGCCCGGCTCCACATGTTCCTGCAAATGACCCTACTTTGCCTCGCTTTTGTCATGTCTCCTAATGCTGCTAACAGCGAGCCAGCTGCTATCGAACTTGTACACTGCAGTCACTGCAGTCTGTTTGCAACTAAACTCATCTAAACTCTCCTCAGATGCTCCGCTTAAGCACGACGAACTTGCCACCCTGTTGATTTGGCATCTCCATCCTTCTCGCAAGCCGGTTTACACCAATCTTAGGAGAAGTTTTAGGGTGCGGTTGATGCGGTTAATTGGGCTGACCCCTGAAAACCAGGATGGGGTTGCTGTAGCAGCTTGGAACGGTCGCCGCGATGGCCGCGCTCGTGGCTTGGACATCTCAGTCCTGCGAGGCGACTACGAATCGCGAGCAAAAAAAGAATTGCTATCGCTTCTGGAAGCTGTGGGTAACCCCTAGGCCCCAGGCAGAGCCCTGGCGGACGATCTCGTCCGGCTTTGTTTACGCTATGTTGCGGCTTACCGTTGCGGAGGGAATTTTGGCATGGGAAGACTTATATGTTGAGGTACCAATCCGTCCGTCCTCACCCTTCTCCTCTTGAGGCTGCTGTTCTCTGGCGTAGATCGCCCTGAGCAATATGGATGTCAAGCAATAGCTGGAAGTGGATGTTCGAATGGTTGCAGAATTCCGGCATACTATCACTATGACATAGACTCTTCACTAGTGACATGGAGCAATGATACGCCCAGCCCTTACAAGATCTGTCGGGAGTTGAGTGCTGCTGCATTGAAAGCGCAGCTGCATGAAGTACGCAAACTCGATCGGTTTGATTCCCCCGGTGGGTTAATGTGACGATGTCCCATCAATCCACACGCATGCTTGGAAGCACACTGCGTTTTGGCAAGTACACGCCAGCACTGCATTGGTCCGTCGTTCGACCCTGGGCGTCACTGCCGTGCAACATCGTGCAACAAACAGCCGCAAGACCGCCACATTCCCTCTCTAAATTTGCGGTCTAATCGGTCTTCTGTGGCACCCAAACCGGCACAGTCATCGAGAGTCTTGGATAACCAATTGTAATGCCTGTCCGCTCATGCTCATGCAGCCCCACATGCTTGCGGACTATTTCCAGCGTTTCCAAGCTTCTACATCGCCAGAGAAACCTGTTCTGTGGCATCGTGCGACATGCCACGCAAGAAGCACTCTGCCAAAGCGTTCCGCAAAATCCGGCTCGTGCGATTCATGCCCTCCGACATAATCCGTGAGCGCACCCCGTGACCTAACCTAGTTTTCAGAGAATGGCGCCGCCGATGTTGCCCGGGCAAACTATCCGATAACGACCCGCAGAGTCATTCTTCGAACCTGGATTACCTAGATTCACCAGGCTCCAGGGATACGTATCTGCCTGTTTGCCCCTTTCCTTCAAACTCTCCATCTATGGACCTCTGGTGTCTACTTATGTACCATCTTGCAAGTGCCAGTGTGGTACACCAGCTCCACCGCGCTACATTCGTCTCGACGCGGCGACTGACGCTTCGCTGTAGCAAACAGGCATGTTTCGCAGAGCGGGTGGTCACATCGCTCAGACCGGCTAGGCAACAAATTATGACATATTGAAACGCTGGCTGCAATGTCGAAGGCAGGCGAAAACAGTGAGAGGGGAGAAAGCCAACGAGGCCGAGAGTCTTGTACGCGGTCGGGAAAAGCGTCTTGATGAACTCAGAATCATCAATGGCCTCAGTGGGCTGGGTGCTTGGATCCTCTGCGACCGGTATGGACCGGTATCTGCTACAAGCTGCTGCCGCAAAGGGCAAAACATGCAGTCGCGGCATTGCAAGGTCTGGGCTCAGCTGTAATTTCGTTCGTTCTTGTGGGATGTGTGAGTTTATTGGCTATTGCCAGTTGTTGCCCATCGCTCCTTCATGCCAGCTTTGTTGCCCATGAGGCCTCCAGCTAAGCACAGCCAAGCAACTCCACTTCCATCATTGTCAAAGGCCTGGAAGACGTCATGAGCACGCTCGTCTTTTGCTTCGACCTCCAGCCTCAGTTCAAGAAAAACGATGCCATTCGGCATGGCGAGTCCATCGGCTCAACAAAACAGGTCACCATGGCACTGTTTGGAGCTCTTGTTCTCAAGACGCTACGACCATGTTTCTTGAAGATTCGGCACATCTGCAGAAGGGAAAGCCAAGGTTCTGTTGGAGCATGCGGCCTCAGTTCAATCATGTTATGACGCTATGCAACCTTTGAAAGATCGAACCTTGCCGTGTTCTTGTGTGGAAGTCGCAGTCACACCAGGAGCGATTATGTCGTCTGCCTAGAATGCTCCCACTATGCCTGCAAGGTTGCCTGCTACGGCTGACACGAGCAGTCCAGAAATCCTGACATGTGCACAATCCGAAACAGAGTACTGAAACTGGCGAATCGGAAACGGCGCACTCTCGTCCGAACATGTTGAGCGGAGAGCAGCGCACACAACCAACCGTCCGCTGTAGATAGTGCACGCGCACGCACGCACGCACGCACTCGAAGCAGGCAGGGCGTGCACAAAGAGTTTGACAGGTGACGAAACTCGTCCATGGACAGCTCACCATCACCGTTCTCATCGTAGTTACCTCCGTGCAGCACGATTTGGAAATTGATGGGCCGGCTCACGCTGACAGCTCTTTCCGGATTCTGCGCATGCCAACTTTGTGCTACCCTAGCCCAGAAAATCATCCAATCGGCTCTGTGGTGGCCAAGCACAGCTTCAGCAGTGGCATGCTGGGACACTGTACCACAAACTGACTTCCACTCCATTCACTCCATTTTCTGTCAAAGCTGCAAAACAGGCCGGGAATATCCTGTGGATCATATCCGACCTTGCTGCATTGCTCGCAACCGGCAAGACTTGACATTCGCGTTATTGATGCCCACACACCACATCACCGACGAGCAGGATCTTTCTGGCCAAGAGGCGGTGGCGAATCGAGTCCTCGTGCGGGCTTGGCTTGGACAAATTAGGCGCCATCTGTTTTTTCTTTCACATCTCACGCCCCCCGATGCAACGTTCAGTCTACAATTCAAGCGGGCGTGGCTGCTGCACTGGAAGACCGAGCGGCTCAGAAAAAAAAGCGTTGCACCCCTGTGTTTCAACCGGCGTGCGTTAATGTCAACATACTCCGGACATGCAGACGGCAGTCACTTTTTCAATAACCGTCTTGCAGTGTGCTGGCTTCTGTCTGCAAGTCGTGCAAAATTCAGCTGTTGGGCAGCAGCCTACACCCCAAGGTTGGCAGTCCTGAGCCGCTGCATAAGCAGGAGCCTGTGTCGGTCGTCCCAGACAGAACCGAAGGCCTCCCGCAGCAAGATGAAATGAGAAGCGCGATACCCTGGACATATGCCAGCGTTCCGTTCCAGTTGCCAGATTTCTTGGGGAGGTGCATGGTAAGTTGAAGCGCTTATAGAGGTGCCGTCACTGCGAAGCAGCACGTGCCTTTCCCACAATTCCGATAGGCATGGCCATGTACATCGCAGACCTGGGATCCATTCACAAAGGATGTCAGGACTTGTCCTTCTAACGCAAGAAGACGTGGTGTACATTCCTATCGACTTTGCTTCCCATGGATCCCGTAGTCGAAACAAACACAAGATGTTAGGCTGCCAAGTGGCACGACGATCAGAACACAGACCACCATGTTGCCGCCAGATGATTTCGGAACGATGTCTCCATACCCCACAGTGCTGAGTGTCCTGGTTGGTATCTGCACTTGAATGAAGCTCTGTGATCTTCGAAGGGTTCCGTGATGCAGGGACTAGCGAGGTCTCGGCCTCGTGTTGTGAGAGCTTCGCATGCTGTCTGGAGCTGTTTAACAGTTTAGCCTGACTGCTTGGAACACATTCATATGCTCAGGGACAACGGACGCCATGCAGCCCGGCAACACCATGGTGAACCAAATTGCCCTGGGCATGCTCTCGATGTTGCCACCTTGAGCTTGGGGCAAGCAGCTCAGAATTCCTCAAGCTGGATTCCTGGTTTGATCTTTACTCGAGGCCTGGAGCCAGCCATGGGAGCCCGGGGGTTGCTCTCCCATCAAAAGCGGCTTGCGTATCGGTCTGGAGACTTGAGAGTCTCATGAACTCTTTGTTGGGGTGCCAGGTCAGGGCACGCAGTGCGACACCGCAGCAAAAGCCTCTAATAACAGCAAACTCCCACAAAGGTCGAAAGATTGTAGCTTTCTCGTGACGTCCGGTGTATCTGCTTTTGCCGAAGCGCTTTCAGACTCCAAGACATAGATGACAGAGGAGAAGAAGAACACCAGCAGCATCTCAGTACCGAAACTCGCTGTGCAGACCTACCGATTCCATGCAGGATGCTTGCCACTCGAACCTCTGAGTGCCTGACCATGCAGTAAAGCAAAGAAGGCAACGCCTCACTTCTTGACTTTAAGCTTTCGGAATCAGCCAAGGAACGACTAGGGAATTCACGGCCATGCATGCCCCACGAACGGTCAGACACCCAAAGCTGCATTTTGCGGGGGTCAGGCTTGATCCGATAAATCAGTCCAAGCCACTCCCAAAGCTTCGGAAAAGGCCTGTTGGATGAGGTGGCTGTTCCTGGGTTCGGCTTGGAGCAGCGAGCTTTGCGACCGTGCTAGGAATGCGGCAGACAGGTCTGCCCGGGAAGAGCAGTTTCGCAGCGCAGCTCGTTCAAGCTCCGGTCACATATGGAACGCCGAAAGATGACAAGCGTCTCAAACCGTCTCAGAAGCTTGAGCAAACGCACCACCGGCACCTCGCCAGGACACTGGCACATCCACTAACTGCGGATCTCTTGATTGTGGCAACGTCCCCCCCGAGCTAACCGAGCTAGCGGGTACCTTAGTGGCAATTAACTATGTGGGTCTACTACAGGGACGGGGGTAATATCAATTCACAGCTGAGCGTTTCAACCGAAAACGTTCCTGCACAATTCGCATGTCGCCGAAACCCAACTTCACCCACAAATTTTGTACACCTGAGGTACCGGACTGCCGACTACCTCTGCTGCAGAATACGAGGGCAATGCCGCCCTGCAAAACCCGAACTACTGCAAGTCCGCCTGCGCTCCCAAAGCTCAGGCTTTGGGCCGCGGCGACTCATCCGACCAAGGCACTAGGACAATCAGCAGCAGCTCTATCCCGGACATGTCCAAGTTGTCTTCTGCTGCGAGTGAAAGCCTGCAGGGCCATGGGGTCCCCTGATTCTGCTCCTACCGCCCACGCTGCGCAATGAAGGGAGCTGCTAAATTGCAGCTGGGGAGCGATTGAACCCGCAACTTCATCGCCATTGGCAAGATGACGGAGAGAATGTCCAGGGCGTTGTAAAAGCTGGCGCGAGATTGTCACATACGACCACTGCGCAATCTAACCGGACTGATGTCGCCGAAGAGTGCCCCCTAAGTCGAGTCCTCTGAAAGTGAGGGCATACTGGCAGTTTCAAATCCAACAAGCCGAGTTTCTGATGTTGCAGAATGACTTGAGAGGCCACGAAAGCTTGAGTGGATGAGAGAGGCAGAGACACTCATTGAATCTCTTGATCGTTGCCACCGGCTGTTCCTTCAGGTCCAGGGATACTACTCGAGCATCAGCAGGCTAAACTTCGTGCCAAGTGAAGATCTTCGAGGGAAGATCTTTTGTTCCTGCGATGTGGGCAATGTGGGCATTGTATGCCAATCCAAGCCACCTGGCCTTCTTCCGATTGAGGGGCCCGAGCGTTGAATTCTGTACCGGAGCATGGATAAACGAGAGGCAAAGAAGCAGAGAAGGACTGGCTGCATCTCCGAACCCTTTGAAGTTCTGTTGCCTGTCCTTGTGCCCGACATGAAACGCTGTGGCACACATCGAAAACCCCTGGCCAAGCACATGTCTGTCTCACCTACTCCGTTCTCTGTTCAACACATTGGTTTCAAGCGCATGTCATTGATTGACAGGCCTGCAAGCCCTGAATTGAAGGAAACTATAGGTGGGGAGCTTAGGGTATAATATAGGGCTTCTATAAGGCTTCTATAAGGTATATAGACCTTCTATAAGGCTCCTATAACGGTAACTACCCAGCTGAGAATGTCCTAGACTGAATGTGATTGCAGACCTGATGCTTCATCGATAAAAAAGGGCAACTCCCGCCGGCTCCGGAAGAGCTAGCTGTCATAACAAGGGCGCCGAACTGCCTGGTAAAGAATCGCAGACGATTGGGGCATCCATAAAACCGAAGTGTGACCTGGCAGGCATCGCTTCCATGTCGAGGCAGCCGTCGTGTTTTTCTCTGCGTGGCATAGCAGATCTGAAGCAAGAGCAGTAAGAGCAAAGCAGTGGAGCTGGGAGGCCTCAAGGAAGAACAAGCAGTCCACGGAGAACAGGGCCAAGTCGAGTCCAAACACTGTCCTGAGATCAACCGTGGATCTTACTACCGCGGGCATGCTGCTTCAAACAGCAAACCAAGTCAACCTTAAAGGGCCGCCATCTCCGAGGTCATGAACTGCTGATAATTGCCAACTGGGATGTCTGATGAAGCATCTCTTGAAGACCAGTCCGCTTCTGAGCTGCCACTACATTTCCCTCTGATCGAGCTTTGCCGAGCATCGTGTCGTTGACGCCCAAGAACTGCTTCGGAATGACTGGCAACCATGCGCCTAAGTCAAGTCAAAGAAGCATCCAGCCAACAATGAACTATCTCAGTCGAGCGACGGGTTGTGGAAAACGGGATTGTGGGGGGTTAAGTCTGCATTTCGTGTGGGAACTGCAGAGTCGAAGCATCACCTATGTACTCAAGCAATCTGCTTGCCAAGCTGCTTGCCAAAATCACACAGGAAAGCCTTGGGTGAGGCGGAATCTTGCCAAGTACCTTGCTGCCTGCATAACTTTCGACTGTCTGATCATCCGTCTGCGTCTTCCTCCGTATCTCCCGCCCTTCCTTCCACCCGCCCCCCCCCCCAACCTTAAGTCCGGCTCTCGCTAGACCCGCTCCTGGGGCGATCACCCGTGGTCGAGAAAAAAGCACTTCTTGTGGCTGAAGGAATTCTCCGGAAGTGGTTGTGCCATGGACCTCCATACTTCTGAACTGCCAACACATCACTTGAAGCATAACATACGCTTCCCGGTCATTCTCTCGCTGCCTTTCACTCTGGCTGACTCTCTGCTAAAAGAGTTCAGATTTCAGGGGGAGTTCTGAAATGCGTTTTACCGGGGGTCGGCAATACGCTGGCTAATCTGAACCCGGACAGGGGGGGGAGGGGGCGCGGAAATATAGATAGAGGGGTCCTGTGTGACAGGTGTGGCTAGAATCCAGAGTGCAACACGACTCGACATAAGACGCCGCATGGTTGGAACAAATCTTCGTGCCAACAGCTCGGGCGTGCCCATGGTGAACGCAACAAGCACATCATCGGCCAAGCAGCACATTCTCGTAAATGCGCCCTCCACGTATGAGGTCTGGATCTTCCAGGAACATCCTTGGAACCAAGGCTGAGCATCCGCATCCTGCAAGTTGTAACTTTTAACTTCAAGGGGCACGAGCAGCTAGGGAGAACGCCTGAGGACTTTACCTAACAATGACCCGCTCTTGCCGTTTCTGCGCTTCGCCTCGAATCTAGATTTGGCTGGGCATTCTCACCGCGTAAACTAGGGCAGGCGACACTGTGCCGCTGCTGTCTGCCACATGCTCGTGACTCTGAGGGCCCTCGTGCTCCGTCCCTAGCCCGGCATTTCCGAAGAAAGCTCCTAAGTTTGGCTGTTCAGCCTGCATATGCACACGGCCTGAGGTGCTTTGCTCAAAGATCCAGCCACGGTGCCAAACTTGCTTCTGAAGCTTGGTGCGCTTTCGCTGACGAACCTTGCTTTTCAGGTCAGGGTGCGAAGAAAAGTCACTGGCGGAGACAACTGTGATACAAGGCGTGCGCCATGCGTATGCTGTAGGCACTAGTCATGGCTCCATCTTGTATTTGCATCGGAGACGCATCAATCACATGGCACAGACCGCCTGCCCACCCCTGCTTGCCCACCCGCTCCACCCCACCCTTTCAAAGTGGTTGGCTCCTGTCCGGTCCAGGAGTCCTTAATAATAAGTATTATTATTCGCCTCGGCCCCGGCCGAAGCGGTCAGAGGTTCCTATTCGGATTCCCTCTATTCCCCACCTCTTAATCCCCTCCACTGACCCCCACCCCTCAAAACCACCATCGTGGGGGGGGGGGTCCCTCTGTGTGAACCCATAAATGAGCCCCAAGGTCCTGCGGTGAAGTTTCGCCGCCTCCAACGGCCT